AAGGGATAATATTATAGAAAAGTTACTAGAGGGTCAAAATCAACCAATAGTTGGGTCTAGCTTTGAATTAGGTTTGTTGATAGAGTCCTCGACTGTATATGGCCAGAATGACAGGGGCAGGTCAACCTTATTCCACATGTTTGTCGTCGCAAATCCGCTGGCTGGTGCTACGAGGCGAGGGGCTGGGACTTTCAAACACGTGACGTCCTCTTTTTTGGATGCGTGCGTTGTGCGGGCGTGCCAGCACGGTCTACCGTGCGTCGAGATGATGATGAGGTTCGGGTAGAAGATGGTTAAAATGTTGCGCCTGTTTGCGTTCGACTCCTAATCAAACGATTGTGGCCGAGTGAGGAACGAATCTCGGCCGTCAGGTTCACGGCCTGAGCTACAAGGCCGTTTAGTGGTGGTGTTGGTGGCGGGTTTTAGGCGGTGCTCCGGCGCGTTGCTCAGAGAGCGACGGTCGTATGATATATGGGGTGAGTGAGGCGATAACAGAGATGGTGCTCCGGCGCCTTGAAAATCAAGGGTCGTATGATATATTGATGAATGGATTTTCCTTACAGTCTACCACTACTCCTAAGAAAGCAAATAAAGGTATTGAAAGTGCATTACAGGAAAATATAATTTGCTCCGTGGGAGGCTTTTGGTTTTGGTGTTTGAACCCTTTGAATGTAGTCCTGAGCTTAGTATTTATAGGAGTCCTGGAGGGACATTCGAGGCTGACAGACCTGCGTGGTGGAGCCTGGGGGCAAGTGGGTAGTCAAATCGGCATTTGGGATCGTGAAGCATGGTGGTCTGGGGTTGAGAAGCATGGTGGTGTGACCCCATAAATCGGCAAATCTCGGCCACCGCCCTGATCGTGGTTTCTGCCCCCTTGCCGTGGGAACGCATTTAATGCCCTGGACTGGTGGTTGAGATCTGACCCTAAGTCGTAAGATTACTTTTGAGAATGTCTGCGCCTAACCACCTGATTCCCATCACCAAATCCTGACTTCAGTCACTTCCCTCGTGCATTGAATGCTTCTTGTGACTAGTGGGTTTTGCTGCGAAGTCAGAGGCATTACTCATTAAATGGAGCGTGGGGCCCTGAGGCCACGTGGCGATTCACCACAGCTTTTCAGACCTGTCTTTGCGGCCTTCGCCTCGGCCTTTCAAAACTGCGGTCGCGCGGCCGAGAGATTCTGCCTTTGCAGCTTTTCCTTGCTTTTAGGAGGGCGAAATGCTTGACGAAACGGTAGGCGCCCAGGGCCGAAGGGATCCCGTTCAACTACAGTTAATGACTGTTGTTGAGTATGCACAAACACCAACATTACATTGACGCCTTATTGCTGTTAACTGCAGGAGAAGCAGAACAACCTTTAGCAATCTTCTCTCTCTTCCTTACAAGTCACTAGCAATCGGTTAACTACAGACCAAAAGACGAAAGGCAAAAACATAATAATCTCGAAATCCTTACACAATAGCCACCCTCAGTAAAAGTGATGGGACTTTATTAAACCAAACAAATAATATATCAGTCTCTGAGTTGATTCAATGAAAACTTATGCTGCAAGGTCATGCAGTCTTATGTATTCTTGTACACCAACAACCAAGGTATTTGATATGTTCAAATGATGACCAATATTTTGTAGAGAAATGAAATTGTACATGCCGCGCGCTTATGCCCAGAACTTGCGCAATTCTGCGGGGTCTTGGATAAGTTTAGCCATAGCCAAGGGAGAAACTTCTTGGGTTTACAATCACAAAGACATCATGTTTAACCATTCTAACTGTCTCTAGGGGCCCCCACTGTTGCCACCCAATGACAGGTTTATAAGTGCCATAACCACCACAACACAAATTATCCAAACCCCTCTGTACGTCGAAGAGAGATTTGCACATAATGAAACCAAAAGCAGCCTGTTATTTAAAGTCTGCATTGAACTTCGTCCTCAAGACGAAGAGCGTCTTATACTAATTATCTTTTTTATTTTTTTTTAAGGCAGCTGATATATGTGAGACAAGCGCAATCTTCTATATCAACAGGAGTCCAAGTTGTTCTGTTGAACTTGTTCTAAGAAATTCGAGTGTAGTCTTCTTTCCAAGTTGGTGCACCACAGGAAGGAAACTACATAAAAAAATATCACGCATCACTGACCAGCGTAGTCATACACAAAGAAAGACTTCTACACAATGGCACAAGGAAAATTTTAAAAGGATTAATTATTGAGATGGCCCTTGAAACTCAATGGGAAGATCACGTTGCCATAAAAGCCAGTTGTCACAATTTACACCCTTGAAAAATCAATCTAGTATCACTTTATTATAGTAATTAAACGCATAAAAATAACCACAGAAATGAGTTGTGAAAAGCAAAATGGTGAAATTTGATAACAGTAAGCCTTTGAGTATCATGTTATAAAAACTTTCTATTAATTATATTTAGACTAGGAAAAATAAACGCCAATGTATTAAGAAATCAAGGGTCACAAATTCAAATCCCAAAAAAAAAAGTGAGAAAAACAAGCACAAAACACTCAAAAATATGGCACAAGAGGCCATCGGATGAATTTTTTAAAGCCAGAATATGGAATCCAAGTTCATTCAATGATATGCAAATTATAATTCAAAGTCTCAAAAGGGGAGTTTGTTTTGCCGTCTTGGGCAAAAACAAAACATTTGGAATATAAAGTATGTGTTTGGGCTCAAGGCACAGGCTGTACATGCAAAATAAACACCGAGTTCGATAGATCGACCCATTTCAGTTTCGGACTAAAACGGGTCGTCGTAGGCTTTCTCAGTTTTACTTCCACACAGAAGAGCTGTAATAGGAAGAAGGAGAGCAAGAGTGGGGAGAGAATTAGCGGGCCCCCAGTGCCAAAGCTCTTCGTCTGCTTATTTTGTCGGCGGCTGGCTGTAAGTCATGAATTGCTTTCAATTTTAGTCTTCTTGCTTCTTCTCTCTTTATAATGGTTGGTGGTATGGTAATTCTGGGTAGTTATCGTGCAATGTGGAGTCAAAAAAATGGCAATGGTGAGCTTCAGCGCAAGTCCCAGTGTCAAACAGCTGAAAGCTAGCAAATACAGCTCATAGAAAATGCCCGCACTGCCCTTGAGTTATCCAGGTTAAGGAAAATTTTCAATTGTGGTCATGGAATTTGGCAAGGAAAGCTTGATCCTTGGTGGGGGAGCTCATTTGAGGTTGATGTGCTGCTTAGTGAATCGTGTTCGACTGACTTGTGGTAGTTGTTAAATTATGTGGAAAATGGTGCAAGAATTCAGGCTTTCAATCTGGTGTACAGATACGAATACATGTGTGAAAATTTCTTTGGTGCATTTTGAGTTTGATAAAATTGCTAATTGGTATTCAGTGTACAAATTTGAATGGAATGGGGGATTGTTAGATTGATTGTTAATTGTGCCTTCTTTGTGACATTTCTATCTAGGTATAGTGTCTGAGAGCGGCAGCATAAACCTTATTGAGGGATGACTCAAATAGCGGATTATTGCTATGAGTAAGAAGGTAGATGTGATATTGATTAGAAGTGAGATTCGGTGTGTGACGTGTGCGCGAACAGTGGGGGTTATATTGTGAGTTTAGGGTGTAGGATGGCTTGGGGTTCCCGAGAAATACAATAGAATGCATGCTCTATTTATCATTGCGATAGTCATGCAATGCACTCTTTATTTGTTGGGTTCAGAAACAACAAAAAAAAAAAAAAAAAAAAAAAAAAAAAAAAAAAAAAAAAAAAAAAAAAAAAAAAAAAAAAAAAAAAAAAAAAAAAAAAAAAAAAAAAAAAAAAAAAAAAAAAAAAAAAAAAAAAAAAAAAAAAAAAAAAAAAAAAAAAAAAAAAAAAAAAAAAAAAAAAAAAAAAAAAAAAAAAAAAAAAAAAAAAAAAAAAAAAAAAAAAAAAAAAAAAAAAAAAAAAAAAAAAAAAAAAAAAAAAAAAAAAAAAAAAAAAAAAAAAAAAAAAAAAAAAAAAAAAAAAAAAAAAAAAAAAAAAAAAAAAAAAAAAAAAAAAAAAAAAAAAAAAAAAAAAAAAAAAAAAAAAAAAAAAAAAAAAAAAAAAAAAAAAAAAAAAAAAAAAAAAAAAAAAAAAATTTACAAGGTTCTTTGCCCTCATCTTTGATGAATTTCACAATACACTTGTTCCTGGTGGGGCTCATTTTATAGCTATCAATATATTTAGCAAGTAGTTGTTAAGTTGTGCCCGCTCAGAGGGTTCAACATTATTGCTCTACCAAGAAACTTTATTATAGCAGTTGCCTTCTTGTTGGGCAAACAACTTGGAATAAATGACTATCCTCCAATTTTGAATTTTCTTAGAAGAATCATCAACAAGAAAACAACTTTGAACTTGGACTTTAAGTGACTAACATGGAAGATGTGCTCGCTGGTATCAGTTATCAGCTGCCTTAAAAATAACGTCAATGTATAATGTCGGATCAGGCTTGACTGGCACTGTCACTCTCAGGCCATATCAATCTGGCAAGAAAAATAACACCATATATCTTCCAAAGTCCTTGAAAAATTGTCATTTTTTTGAAAGAAAACACCAATGAGGGAAAGCACACGTCAAACATTGGGTGGCTGGCTGTATTTATATCAATACAAGTTTCAAATTACAAGCTGTTCCTAATTCTGTGGAGATACGACAAAGATGAGTTCTTAGAAGAATCATCAACAAGAAAAACAACTTTGAACTTGGACTTTGAGTGATTAACATGGAAGATGAGCTGGTATCAGTTATCAGTTGCCTTAAAAATAAAAGAAAAACATATTCCAGTTTGAATTCAACAAGGATTCTGTTTGTCTCATATATCAAGGTCAAGTCCTCTCCTGGTGGCCCAAGGGTTTCAATATCAATAATTTGCATTCTGTGGTTGTTGTTTGCCGACTTCTCAATTTGCAGTGATGTTTGCCGACTTCTCAATTTGCAGTGATGTTTGCATCCTTTTGAAGCATGTTTGCTCTTATATATAAAAATATACATGTGAGCAACGGCACATACACAAAGCAACATGCTAGTGCAAGCTTATAACCTAATGGCTCATGCCTTCCTTCTCTTCCTCTTATTCCCTTACATTATATCCACAAATATTCATGACTGCAAACAAACTGAATGCAGCTCCCTTCAGTCCTTTGCCTCAACTCTCTCTTCTCCTCCTTTAAATTGGACATCCATTGATTGCTGTCATTGGAAGGGCATCACTTGTGATCAAGATGGTTGGGTCACCCACTTGCTCTTGCCTTCCAAAGGGCTCAAAGGAGGTATCTGTCCCTCTTCACTTGCAAATCTCACGCATCTCACTCACTTGAACCTTTCCCACAATTCACTATATGGTTCACTTGAAACTCAGTTCTTCTTGTCTTTGAATCGGCTTGATATCCTCGATTTGAGCTATAACAATCTTTCTGGAGAGCTACCAATTTCTCTACTATCTAGCAATATCCAGACAATTGATTTGTCCAGCAATCACTTCTTTGGTGCAATTCCATCTTCATTCTTCCAACAAGCAAGCAACTTAACTAGTTTCAATGTCAGCAACAATAGCTTCACAGGGTATATCCCATCCTCTATTTGTCTCCAACATTCTTCTCCCTTCCTCAGGCTATTGGATTTTTCTTCCAATCTATTTAATGGCGACCTTGCTCCTGGGTTAGGGAAGTGTTCTGAACTGTAGGTTTTTCGTGCCAATCACAATAACCTCTCAGGATTACTTCCAGAAGATATCTATAATGCTACCAAACTGGAAGAAATTGCATTACCTCTCAATTCACTACATGGAGCCATTAGTGGTAAAATTGTCAACCTCACCAACCTTGCCATCCTTGACCTTTCCTCTAATCATTTTGGCGGCAAGCTTTCTCACAATTTGGGGAAGCTTTCCAGGTTGAAGTTTGTGACCTTAGATTTCAACAATTTAGAAGGTGTGTTGCCCCCATCTTTGATGAATTGCACAAACCTTGTCGAACTGCGTTTGGGAAACAACCACTTGGAAGGAGATATCTCTGTGCTTAATTTCTCAAGACTGAGTCAACTTACTAAACTTGACCTACGGATCAATAACTTCACTGGTACGGTTCCAGTAAGCCTTTACTCATGTAGGTTCCTAAAAGCCATTCGGTTGACTGGAAATAATCTAGAGGGACAAATACAAGCTGAGATACTTTCATTGAAATCCTTGTCCTTCCTCTCGCTTGGTTACAACCGATTCACCAACCTCACAGGGGCAATGAAGATATTGATGAGTTGCAAAAGTCTTCACGCACTCTTGCTTAGCGGTTCCTTTGTGGGTGAGGGAATGCCATCTGATGATGACATGGTTGATTTTGATGGATTCCAAAATCTTCGGCTCTTGGGTTTGGTTCGTTCTAACCTCACTGGTAAAATACCTTTTTGGTTATCAAAGCTCAAGAATATAGAGATCTTGGCTCTGGGTTTTAATCAAATCACAGGGCCGATTCCAAGTTGGTTGGGGACTCTTCCTAAACTATTTTATATAAGCTTGTCACACAACCAAATTTCAGGTAAATTTCCACAGCAACTTTGTCGACTACCAAGGTTGCTTCATGAACCAATTGCATCTCAAGGAGACAATTATGAATTTGAATTTCCTGTCTACAGCAGCAGCATCAGCATAACCGCAAATCAAACTTTTCTATCACAAAAATTGTATTTTTTTCCAGCAACGATAGACTTCTCTACGAATAACATTGTTGGTGATATACCCACGGAGATCAGCCAATTGCATCTTCTCTACACGTTGAGTCTTGACTCCAACAACTTCTCCGGTGTCATTCCAGACCAAATATCTAACCTAAAAAATTTAGAGGTTTTGAACCTCTCCATGAATCACTTGTCTGGAATAATCCCATCGTCATTGGCGAGCCTTAATTTCTTAAAAGAATTTAATGTCTCACATAATAACCTTGAAGGATCGATACCAACAGGCACCCAGCTCCAAAGCTTCGAAGTTTCTGCGTTTGAGGGGAACCCAAAACTTTGTGGTGCGCCACTTCCAAAGTGTGAACCAAATAAGGGCATTGATGCAGATAACAAGAACAACAAAGACGTGCACAATTGGCTTCATCAACTTCCATGGTTTTATATCTTTGCAGCATTGGGGTTTATAGTGGGATTTTGGGGAGTTTGTGGTTGTTTAATTATTAACAAGACTTGGAGATATGCATATTTTCGATTGATAAACAATGTACAAGATAGGCTCCTCTAGATATATATTATTAATATTGTACTTTTTATTTTGCATTTTCAGTTTGCTTTTAATTTTTTTTCTTTTTCTTCCTCTTCATTTCTGGTCATGACAGATTCACCTGATAAAATTTTCACATAAAAACACTGCATTGTCGTCGGATGGACCTCTTCTATGAAGTGATAGGACCTATCCATCCTTTCTATTTCATTGCAATAGTTTAGATTCTATTTCCCGTAAAGCTAGGATACGGTTATCCTTTTGGCATCATCCAGAATCATTTATAAGTACTAATAGCTGGTACAGAGAGGGGTCATGAATGCCTTTCCTTTAATTTGCTTCTTTGTTTTCCTTTTCTGAATCTGCGAACCTATCATGAAGCCCTGAAAGAAAACAACTGAATTTAAAAATCCGCCAAACATTTAAAAAAGAAGAAGAAAAAGACTTAAAAACCAAAGACTTAAAATTGAAATGAAAATTCATTTTTACCCAAAAAAAAAGAAAAAAAGAAAATTCATGACTTGCAGCCAACGCCGAAAAAATAAAGCAGACGGCGGAGCTTTGGGGACTGGGGGGCCCGCTAATTCTTCTCCATTCATTTCTCTTCTCCTCTTCTTTAGATTCTTCTGTGCGAGAAGTTGAGTATTGAGAAAGATCACGACCTGTTTTTGGTCTGAAACTGAAATGGGTCTGATCATAAAGACTTTGTGCAACGAAGTTTTTGCATTTGTCGCACAAAACTGAGCGACGGTTAACCTTTGTTGCACAAAAGGTTGAGGGACGAAACAATCGTTCGTCTCACAAACCTTTGCACGACGAACGCATGTTTGTTGCGAGTGCACTGCGCGATGAATATTATCCGTCGTGCTATTCGTGTCTCAACCATTTGCACGACGATTTGTATTCGTCGCGCGTTTTGTGTCTCCAAATTTTGCGCGACGATTGTTGTTGAGTGACGAAATCATCATTTCTTTTTCGCGCTCTAGAAAGTATTCGTCGCGTAAGAATAAAATATAGTAATTTAAAATGTAATCTGACGTTTTTTATTTTGTAAAATGTGAATTTGCGCGACGAAAAACATTTCGTCGCACAAAATTAAAATATATTTTATTTAAATTTAATTTTTCGTTTATTTTTTTTTGTAAAAAAAATAATTTTTGGTTTTTTTTTGCAATAAAATAAAATTGCATTAAAAAAAATGTAATGAAGAGAAAAAAAAATGTAATTAAAAAATAAAAAAACTAATCGAATAATGTTCCAAAATCAACGTGGTCGTCTGGCAGATGCGGCTCGCAGGTCTGAACAATGTCCACAGGGGCAGAGGTCTGGTGACCCATGCTCGGCGGGGTGGACGGGCTCGGAGGTCGAGGCAACAAATTGCGGGACTGGAATGCCGGATCGCACGAGGGACTCCAGAATCACAGACATCTGATCCTGAAGCTCGGCCACCTTTGTTGTCAAAGCAGTCACCTGACTGTTTGCCTGCGACGATGACCGAGGTCTAGGTCCCCTCCGCTGGGCATTCCCTATCCCTCGACAATATCTCCCCGGCTTCTTCCCGATAGTCTGATCGAACGTCTTAGTCAAGATGTGAAACCCAGCATCCTGTGGAGGATCCATAGACTCGATCGGAGTATCGAGAGGAAGTTGGGAGGCGAACTCCTGAAGAACCAACTGGTTCATCTCCACCATCGTCGTATGTTTAACATAACATAAAATATAAATTAAAACATTCATATAATAACCCTGAAACTTGAATGCGTAAGAAAATAATTAAAATTGAAGAATACTTACATGAAGGGTCTCAGTCAACTCATTCCCAGGTCGAACATGAACGTCGGGAAAGACGTCGATCTCCAAGAATTTGGACCCCCCCTGAATTGAACAAGAGAAGAAAAATGTTTGTACGAAAAAAATAAATTAATATTAATGACATATTAAAAAATTTTATATAAACTATTTTATTATTACCCACCGCCGTGCATGCATCCTATATGAGAAGGGCATGGAACCTGAATGGTGGAGAAGAGTCTTCTTGTTCCTATTGCCCTTATTGACTTTGGCTTTATTATGTTATACAAAAAATAAACATATTAGTTGAAATTGAAATGAAATATAAAAAATGAAATACACATTAGTAAGAAACATGTAATAATTTTGAAATTAATATTAAAAAATACCACATAATCGGGCGCCTGAAAATGAGCGCAGAGCCACGCCCAATTATCCTCCCGGCCCTCAAGCTCCTTCGGGCCTCAAAATGGTGGTGCAACTCGCTCTTCCACTGCTTGTACCTCTCAACAAGTAATATAAATATATAAAATTTGAAGGAAAAAGAATTAAAAGGAAGGATACATACCGACAACTGGCCGTGCATCTACGTGTTGATCTCGTCAGGCATTACCTTCCAAGACTTCCATTGCATCGGGCAATGGGTCTGAACGACGTGACCAATGTCATGGGCCAATGAGCTATGCAACTCCGCCGTCGATGCAGTCCGATGCCGCTCGTCGTATCCAATGTTGATACGACTGTTGGTCACCCGGGTGACCTTCGCAGTCTTCAACTACCGACACGTCCCCCGGGTGTTCTTCTTGGCTGCAAAGAAAGATGAAATTAACGTTAAATAAATAACAAATAAAACTATAAAATTAAATAATAATAATCATAATAATAATAATAATACAACAACAGTTGAAGGAAATCTATACCTGGTTGTGACCTCGACGCAACAGTAGCGTCTGTCGATGTGGTGTTGGTGGTGTTGGCGGGCCGGGGGAGGCTAACTCTGTGCATTCGTCACCGCCTTACGACTTCTAATTAGGTTTGACATCTGCACAATTTCATTAATACAAATAAAAATCTATCCAATTTAGCAAGATATAATTCTAAGCATAGCTTGACCTAGGGTTTACGATTTCGGAGTATCCGGGATTCCGATCCACGATACTATAAATACAAGGTACAACATACGTGAGTTTGAATTTGATCCAACACTCCGAACATATCAAACCCGGAAATCACATAATAGGCGAAATCCGTTCGAGACTCAAATGGTAACCAAATTCAAATCCAAGCACATCTACGCGCTCGAGACAACTAGGGGATTGCACTGGGACCCAATGCCCACTGCTACAGTAACCCACGCTCCGGGATCGCGTGGGTGTCCAAAGCGATAACATGTCGCCAAAGAATTCTAAAAATTTAGGGCCAAGACTCCAACCTTAAGTTCAAAACATGAATTGGAGCAACTTTTGTTCTTGGACCTACCCCGAAAAATGCCCGGAAGTGTCCACAAGTTAAATTCAAAAATCGGCCAAACTTAGGGTTTAAATTCGAGGTACCAAAACTAACAGTTAATCAAATCCTACCCAACCATCAGCTAGAGCACGAAAAATTGTCTAGACAACATACCTCAGGTGTCGAAATTGGTGGCCGGAGGAGAGAGACCAGGGCGGAGAAGAATCTGCAAATACTGGGCCAATTTCGACGGGAGGTGCGGCGGGGAAGGTCTGGGCTTTGAAGGTGGTGGCGGCTCGGTCCTTTTTTCGACCGAGAAGTGGGTTGAGGTGAGGCAGCTGATGGCGAAGAGAGAGAGAGAGAGGAAGTTTAGGGCAAAATATGAAACTGAGGAAGAATGAGGCAGTTGCGTTGTTTCTGAAAATTTATTCGATCTTGCGCGACGAACGAAACAAAGCGTCGCGCAAGATATTTTAAATACACCTTGCGCGACAAAAATGAAATAATGGCATCGCCCAAGGTAAGTTTTCCGCCCAAATTTTCATTACATTGCGCGACGAAGAAACTAAACCGTCGCGCAAGGTTGTGAGTCCGCCAAAATTTGGGATTTAGGGTTTAGGGGGGGAGAGAGAGAAAGTGAAAAGGTCTGAATGATATTGCCCGACGCATGAACCTCTTATTCGTCGTGCAAACCCTAAACCCAAAACTAGTTTCAATGATCCAACCGTCAAACTTGTTTGTTTATACTTCGAGATCATATACGCCAAAAATCGAAAAAAAATAAACATTCAGAGATCAAGTAACGAGATAAAACTTTTCGACGGTTATAAATAAAAAGTCACGATTTAACGGTTATTTTAACTCCGATTTTGATGATTTTTTACAGCTACACTTCATGACCCTATATGAATACAATGACTGAATTTGATCTTCAATATAAGATATTTACACTAGTGGATATCACATAATCTTATGTTATATTTAACGAAATTATAAATAAACTCTTAATTGTTGGTGAATATATTGTTTTGATGGCATACGTATTCTACGAAACTAGTTTCAATAATCCAACCGTCAAACTTGTTTGTTTATACTTCGAGATCGTATACGCCAAAAATTGGAAAAAACAAACATTCAGAGGTCAAGTAACGAGATAAAACTTTTCGACGGTTATAAATGAAAAGTTACGATTTAACAGTTATTTTAACTCCGATTTTGATGATTTTTTACAACTACACTCCTTGACCCTATATGAATACAATTAACTAATTCGATCATCAATTTCAAATATATATATATGTATATATTATATTAAATTAAAATAAATATATTGGCGCGACGAGTACCTAAATCGTCATGCAAAATAGCTTTACGCGAAGAAAGTATAGGTTGTTGAGCGAAATTGTTACTTTACGCAATGAGACATATGTTTGGTCGCACGTAATTGCAACTGTTGCGACGAGTAACTTCTTCGTAGGGTAAACTACGCGCAACGAGGCTCGTTCGTCGCGCAAGTATTTGGTGCCTTTTACATATTTAGGTCAAATTGTGTCTCATTTTTATTTTTTAAAAATATTTTGTAAAAATAATTTTCAAAAATTGTATCAAAAGGGTTTAGATATATTTATTTACCAATGTTTTATAACTAATTTTTTTTTCATTTTTCATTTTCTTGTATAGCTCAATTTATTTAACAATATTTCATTTCTCCACATATATTAGGTTTGGATATAACAAGTACATATATTAAAACAAGCATATTTGCGAAAATCTGTACACTAACATAATAAAATTACAAAATAATTCATTATTCATCATCTGAACTATAATAACTTTTGTTATTATCGCTACCATCATTTTCGGTCTCTCAATCGTCCTCATCTATAACTACATCATCGTCGTTGTTCAGGCCCACTAAAATATTGTATCGCGGAAGATCATCGAGGTCAATTGTAATTGACTAAATCAGTATTTCGATTGAAGACACCCTTTGTATCTGAAACAGTTCTTGTATAACATTTGTATCTCGAAGTGTTTCCGCAGCATTTTCCATTGAAGATTCTAAACGTTGGTCAGCCACGTTGTCGTTGTCGATGTCGTTGTCAGTTGGGTTTAGTTCTGGTATAGCATACACGTTCCTATGATCCATCTTTTGAACAATTTTCTAACCGCTCCCAACTTTAGGGTCATCTAGATACACAATCTGTGTTGCCATGTTTGCCAAAATGTAAGGGTCGTCATCATACCAAGTTCTGTTAATGTTCACAGATAGTAAGCAATGATCGATTTTAACACCTCTCGGCCTATTTGGGTTGGTATTAAACCATCGACACTTAAACATGATCACTTGGTATCGGTCTTTGTAAAGCAATTGCACGACAGTTATGAGTTTGCCATATAAATCAATGTCCGGACTTTCGCCTCCACCTGGGACATGGATACCGCTGTTTGCGTACACAACTTGTCATCTCGTGCAGTCCTCAAATACTTGACGCCGTTAACATGGCAACCTGAGAACAATTCAACGCGAATAGAGCCGAACGCCAAGTTATATAACTCATTACTATAAGTGGGAGAATTCGATGATTTCAACTTAGTCACCTAATATTATACAAAACCATTCACATGTTAGTTTGACAAAATTAAATACAACAATATATATTTGTCAAATACAAAACACTTATAACTTACAGAATCCAAAAACCATTATGGAAACAATTCATGGTGTTTCTTAGCATACAAATGTGATGGATGTTCTTGCTTCATCATCTCTTCATGCTCATCTAAGTATGCCATGATCTCATCACAATTTTTCAATATGAACCAATGCGCTACATCCATGTCATTTCTGGAAAACGACTCTCCTCGTCCAGGATCTCCAAAGGGTCGTGCACTTTGGGCAAAAACATAAAGTTTTTCATTTCGCAGACCTCCGTCATTATTGCGCTAAGGACGATTAAAAGTCATCTCCACATCTTTTAAATACATTCCACATAAAGTAAGCGACTCATATTGAACCCAAGCCTTTATAATTGATCCTTCGGGCTTCGCCCTGTTGCATACACTTTTTTTCAGCTCTCCAAGAAGCCTGCCAAAATAAAACGATATGATACAAATTAGCGAGCGTGTGATAATGATGCATACACAAATGACAAGGATTATATACATTTCTATTGGAGACATCCAGCGATAGTTGACAGGACCAGCAAGCAATTTCTCTTCTGACAAGTATACCATCACGTGGATCATACTTGTGAAGAAAGCTAGAGGGAATATCATCTCAAACTTGCATAGAACTTGGACAATGTCATGGCGCAACTGATTAATGTCTATCTTTCACAACGTTTTTGCAGTCAGTTGGGAAAAAAATCTGGACAACAACATAATTGGCTTCACTACATCTTCCGGTAAGAGGTGTCGAATACCCATTCACGCAACGTGCGATATTAGAAGCATACCCATCGGAAAACTTTACAGACGAAACTAACTTTAGAAACTCTTTTTTGTCATTCGGTTTCATAGAAAAAAATGCAAGATCCCTTCTAGCTTTATCATTGTCCCTATTCATCAATAAACCCCTTCGTATGCCCATTCTTTCCAAATCAAGACGAGCTTTGATCGTGTCCTTTGTCTTGCCCTCGATATCTAGAATCGTGCCCATCAATGTGTCAAATGCATTTTTCTCAACATGCATCACGTCTAGATTGTGCCTCAATTTTAGTTTTGACCAAGATGGAAGCTCAAAAAAAATAGGCTTGTGCGTGCAGTTCATATGTGTAGAAGGTTTGGTCCGACTAACTGTTTTCCCGAACGGATCAAAATCCAAACGGTTAAGCTGTTCCAATATCTCATCACCGGACCATTCTCTAGGTATGAGGCGACGCTCTGTGTTCTCATCGAACTCTTTATCTTTTTCCCTCCACTCGTGGTCCCATGCCAACCATCTCCGATGACCAAGGTAACAAAACTTTCCAGCGTGCCAACCAGAAGTTACATCTTCCTTGCATACAGGAAATGCCATATAACCCTTTGTGCTCCATTCAGAAACCATTGCATATGCGGGAAAATCATTCACAGTCCACACAACTGCTGCTCGCAAAGTGAACATCTTCTCAGTTGAATTATCGTACGTATGCACACCGTTTGTCCCTAAATTCTTCAGCTTATCAACCAACGGCCTTAAGTTAACATCGATTGACCTGCTTGGATCCTCAGTTATCAAAACAATCATCATCATGTATTTTTTTTCATGCATTTCCAAGGCGGCAAATTATATGGGATATGAAAATCGGCCAAGTGCTGTGGTGTTGGTTTAGAACCCCATACGGATTGAATCCATCAGTGGCAAGCCCCAATCTAACATTTTGGGGATCAGCAGCCAACTCAGGGAACGTTCGATCGAACTCTTTCCATGCCTCCCCATCTGCAGGATACCGCATCACATCGTCGTCTACCCGTTTTTCCTTATGTCATCTCATGTCTGTGGCAGTATGCATCGACATATACAATCGCTACAACCTAGGTTTCAGGAGCAGATAATGTATGACTTTTTGTGGGATCTTAGTCGTTCTATTCTAATATGTCATTTTGAACCTCGACTCATTGCATATAGGGCATGTATCCAACGTTTCATGCTCTTTGTAGAATAACATGCAATTGTTTTTGCAAGCGTGAATTTTTTTCATAACCCAATCCAAGACCATTCAACACCTTTTGCGCGTGTTTATGGTCTTTCGGCAAACAATTGTCCGTCGGAAGCATTCTCTTGAAAACCCGCAAAAAATAATCTAAACACAAGTTCGACATATGATACTTTATTTTTCCGTGCATTAGCTCCACAATGGCCGTGAGAACGAAAAAGCTCTCGCACCCTGTGTATAACTCTTGGTTGACATTTTTTTAACAGTTTTTCATATTGTTCGAACTCTACACTGTCCATTGGTGTAGGCACGTCATCTTCCCCTTCCTGATTGATATTGGTTGATGGAAATGGAAAAGCATCGTGTATAATATCCATGACTTGATCATTAGGATCCACAATAGGTTCAACATTGTCTACTCTTGTGGCATTTGAAGACGAAGCATGGTCTAATTGTTCCCCGTGAAGGTTCCAAATGCTATATGTCTCAATTATTTCATTCCTTACTAAATGAAATCCAACATTTTCAATTGTCTCCCACAACGTGTTGTTACACCTCCTACAAGGACAACGGATTCTAGTTGCACCTGGGTTGAGTGTACGTGCAAACTCAATAAAATCCAAGATTGCATCCAAGTATTCGTTTGTGCATCTATTCAGGTTCTGTATCCACCTTTTGCTCATAATTCCTAGAACCACAATCACAACATAATTCCGGTAAGGGCCCTATCCAATTTGGGAATGCGTAGTCATGTCACGTGGATGAATTTCGGCAGCATCTCAATACAGTTCTTGAGGTGTACCGTAGATATAAATACCTACGTACCACCCGAAGAACGTACAGAGATAACACCGAAATCTCCACAATCGAAACCTAATCCTGTAGCCGCACATTACATGACATAACTATGCATTCCCAAACTGTCCAAATAATGGGACAATTCAAGAATTAATTGGACCACAGTCATGCTTTACGCATCCATGCACGAAATCCAACTAATCTCGAACGGGAAACTAAGTGTTACTAAAAAAAAAAGTACGAAGTTAATTTCAATTAACTTCGTACATCACAACACGTTGTGCTACGTCACGCACAATTTAACAATATAATATAAATATAATTTCACAAAAAAAATATAAACATAACAAACTAAGTTTAACATAACGTAATTAACTTAACATTTTTAATATATAAAATGAATAAAATACATTCTCAATCGTTCTCCACTAATCGCTAATTACAAATATCCCTAACGAGAACGAAATTAATAGCGTTAGTACGAATTTACAGTAATACTTTTAAACTAACGATAAAAAATACTTACCCAATGAACGTACTGAATTCCTAGCAGAGGAAGCGGTAGAGAGAGGCAGAACACTTTTTTTTTTGCATTCTGCCTCTACAATGGCAGAATCCAGATATGAAGAAGAAGGACTTTGCGCGACGAACACATATTTTCGTTGCGCAAACTACCGTTGCAAAAAAAAATTTCCGTCATGCAAAACCACTTTTTGGTCACAAAAGTTGTCCATTTCGTCGCACAAAATAACGTTTTCGTCGCACAACCACATGTGGACATCACACTTTTGTGCAACTCAAGTTCCGATTGGTCGCACAAACTTTCGTTGCGCAAATTCTAAATGTCGTCGCGCAAAAGCAAGCTACCGTCGCGAGAAAACGAACTTCTGTTGCACAAGAATGTGCCGACATCAAACTTAACGCGACGAGCTATGTTTCCATCGTGCAAGGCTTTGGCGCCAAAAAAAAATCTCACGCAAGTATTTTGGAGCCAAAAAAAATATCCCATGTTTTTCTTACGCGATGATAAATCATGTCGTCGTGCTAAGTTGTCTTTTGCGACGACAATTGTTGTCGCACAAGTTTTTACTGCCAAATAACAAAACCCACTGTTTTCTGTCCACCTTTACGAGATGAAACTTTCAACCGTCGCGCTAGGTTTTCTTTTGCTACGATTTTTGTCGTTGCGCAAGTGTTTGGCGCAAAAATAAAACCCGCGTTCTTCTACCTCACTTTGCGCGACGAATAAGTTTTTTGTCGTGCTAAGACCGTTTGCGCGACGAAAATTTTGGTCGAGCCAGTTTTCGGTGGTTTGCGACGAATAATTTTTTCCGTCGCAGTAGTGCATTTTGCGCGACTAATTCTAGTTCGTCGCGCAAACAGTAAAACGTAGTAGTGTATATAATGTTCCTTAGCATCCATGGTTTTCCTGATATTCGGTCGTTTTTCCTTTTGTAGTGTTGGAAAAGAATCTCTGAGCATGACCTCAAAGATAAAAGTGGCCGTTTCTGGTGGCCGACATTTTTTAGGAGCTTTTGTAACCCACTTTTTCACTATCGTGATGAGGGCATGGCATTCAAATCGGTAACTTGGTCAAACTGCCCAAACCATCGGTGGTTTGGTTTTTTTTTTTCAAATTTTTTTTTGGTCATCGGTTTGAACCCAAACCAAATCAAAATATATGGTTCAGTGTACGGTTTGCAATATTCAAAACCACGGTTTAACCAAACCCAACTGATAGTATTTAAAAAAAATGTTATATATAATACATAGTTTCAATCTTTTCTTTTTCTTCTCTCTCCATCTTTCTGTTTGTCTTGTCTCCATCAGTCCCTCTCTCTCTTCTTTTTTTCTCCTTCTTACGTCCGTCTTCACTCCCGCTCCCCCTCTCACTTTTTTTTCTTCTTCTTCTTCTCTCTCTCTCTTCTTTTTCTCCTCTTTTTCTTCTTCCATCTCTCCCTCTCTCCATCACTTTTATTTCTTATTCTCTCTCTCTCTCTCTCTCTCTCTCCTCTCTCTCTCTCTCTCTCTCTAAGAAAGCCAAAAAACCCAAACCAAACCAAACCAAACCAAACCAACCCACCAAGTCCGGTTAACCGAAGTGGTCGGTTTTCATCAATTATGATTTGGTTTTGGTTTCCAAAATAGCCAAAACCAAGGCCTACGGTTCGGTACTAGGGTTGAGCCTAAAACCGAGCCAACCCAAACCTAACCCACCCCTAATTGTGACCCACTTTTCCACTATGTGCATAGTAAAGAGAAAAATAAGAGAATGTACATTGAATATGGACAAATACAGAAAAATTCAAAACTAAATGTACGTTGATTTTCAATAATTAAAGCTAAATACAAAAATATTCAAAACTTACCTATATGTAAGTACTCTTGATGTCGTCCAACACTTACCTATTATTTTTGTACATGTGTCAAACTGTAATTTGCAAGAAAGGGGTATAAAACATGTCCAACACTTTATAGAATACAATATTAATGTCTTTATTATTTTTATTTTTATTTTTATACAAGAAATATTGGGGAAGAGGGGATTTAAACACAGAATATCTCAAGTGCATGGGTAATTGCTCTTAATCACTAGAGCTAAAGCTCTTTGTTACAACATTAATAAGAAATATATATATATATATATATATATACTAGCCCCTTGACACATGCTCACGCATGTGCCAATTGGTTTTATTTTTATTTTATTTTATTTTTAGAATTAAGAATATAAAATATGGGTAGTTATGTTCCATAAAAGTAGGACCTATTATCTTATTTTGTTTTTATTTTTATTTTTAATATAGAAAAAATGTGAATTTACCATATTATCCTCATTTAATTAATAATTTCAATTCTTAATATTTGAATTAACCAAGGGTATTTTATGGTATTTTGAATGTTTCACCATTATCTGCCTTTTGCTTTATATATATATATATATATATATTAATATCTCTTCACACAGATACAAGAGAAAACATGATCAGGTTAATTTCAAGCAGTTTCTGTAATCTGCGTTTTTAGGCAACCCGACCATTAATCCCAAAAACTTCATCTCACCATATATCTTACACCACATGAAGAGGCAGAAATAAGTAGGGAGATAATTACACAGGGGTACAAGCTTATTATACGTACAGTGCTAAGTGATGATCATGCAGATTTGTGGTTCGGAACCCAGACAATATGATCAGTGGGAAGGAAATGGCAGATGGGAATTTTTCCGGGCTTTACTTTGAGGATTTGGAAGGCCAAATGCTTTGGGTTCCATTCTGATGTGTCTAGATGGCAGATGGCTACTGCTTTAACCTTCACCCCATCATCGCCTTTCAGGGAGAGAACATAAGCTGCTGTTGATTTTATTGCATGGCAGTAAAACACAGCATAGGGATAGTTCTGCTTATGACACACAACGACTTTGTCACCTGCCAGCTTCTTCTGTCCCGGCATTGTTGTATACTTGTGCATGGACATGGTGGCTCCTTTTTCCAATACCTCCGTCGAGATTGCTTGAACGTTTCTTGTTCTAAGCTTCGAAGTGCTAAAATCAACCATTGATTCTAAAGATGTGGCGCAATATTTTTCCTCTCCCTTAATGCCTGGAGCTTCACACTCTTCGATTGTTTGCTTAATTGTTTTGGCTTCCACAGATGTTGGCTTCACTGAAAAATGGTTGAAAATTTCTGATAGTTTGTTAGAGGAGAAGGGGATCGATTGAGCACTTTTGCGTGGCAGGAAAGTAGCCGTGTTTGAATTTCTAGGGAATTGGAAGTTCATTGTTGCGCCAGGACGCATGTCCTTCTCCAAGAAGAAAATAGCTACGTTTTTATAATGGAGTTGATTGTCAGTGGGATGATCATATGCCCTGTTATAAAATATAAGTGCCAATGGGATATTTTCAGGTTTGCCCTTGTGGTCAGTTGGCTTTTCATTCCCAACAGCATTCATGATATTTGTGCTCTTTTTTTCATTTGTGGAGTCTGCAAATTATATATCAACGTCATAATGGAAAATAAGTAATCAGCCGATTGAAGAGTGAGTGACACATTTGTGAATATGTTGCCGTACGTACTCTAGTACCATACTATAATTACTCATGTACGTTCTTACATGTTATGAAGAGATATCTAAGGTTCTAAAGTGCTTAACACAAACCAGGATGCAGAAGTTCACTGATAGCTCTTGGCATTTGTGTGTTTGGCAGGATGGAGTTCCAGTAAAGTTGAGGTGCTGGTTGAGCAGCATGGTTTGCCAGTGCCACCGCTGCTAGCTGCAACATTAATTCGAACTCTAATTAAAATCAAATCTCACAAAGTGTAATTAATTAGTGGATGACACTTAAGTACTAAATAAAATCGGAGAGAATTATAGGAACACAAAACTTTCGTTTATATAGAGTACAGTGAGAGATAATGGAAAAATTAATCAAATTGCAGAGCTTACACTGAGAAGAGCAAAGATGAGTGGGAGATGAAACCCCATTAGGACTGAAATTAACTTGGCAACAGATGTAGCTAGTGGATATGAAGCAAGAAATTAAAGAAAGTCGGAGCTGGCTCTTATGGTAACAATAGCAACTGGCTTCACCATTTTATAGAGGGAAGGGAATTGTTCCCCTGTACAGACGAATGATGAGTGGTACCCAGAAGTAATACTCCACCCACCAATATAGCGCTTAATTAATTCCCACTGCCTCACTCACTTAAATTCATTTGAAGCAGTGGCACGATGTGATGTATCAGACATAATTGTGAGGGTATACTAGTGATTTACCTCTTGAACTTGTACCTAACTTTCGATTAACTCCCTATCTTTTTTTTATTATTATAGAATATTAATGATATGAACTTTTTTTTGCCAATTTCCCCCATGCCGTCTACATCTCAACATTTCATCCAATTTCCTGTTAAATCATTTAAAAAAAAAATTGGAAAAAAAGAAGAGAAAAGATAAAACAAAATAAAAACCTTATCTCCTCAGTGTTTTTTTCTTCCCCCTCCCCCTTGCCCGATGCTTCTCCCAAGGCCAACTAGCCCCACCCCTGACTCACCTCCTCCCGCCTCCTTCTCTCTCTCTCATCACCCTATTCCCTTAGGCTTAAAGGTTTTGATCTACTTTTTTGTTTTTCTTCATTTTGTTCTCTACAAAGTGTGTGTCTCTCTCTCTTCTCGCTTTCCCCTTCTCTCTCTTCAAAGACATCAACACCGCCCACCCTTCACCAGCCCCCTTCCTCATTCTATCTCCCTCTTTCATCAATCAACACCCTCCACCACCTCACCACCCAGAAAAACCCAAACAACCAAACAAACAAAAAAAAAAAATCAAAACCCTAAATAGCCACCCAAAAAAAATCTTTATTATTAACCTCATCTTACTCCCCAGGAAACCCAAACAGCCAAACAACTGCCAAAGAAAAAAAATTCAAGATCAAAATCCTAAACAACCCCCAAAAAAATCTCAAGATGTTTATTATTAAATTTTGTTTTCCTCTCTATAACCTTGGCAAGGGGAGAGAGAGAGACGCAAAAAGAGAGAGAGTGGGAGGGAGAAGGAGGAGGGGGTGGGCACATGGGGGAGAAGAGACAGAGGGTGGAGGATGGTGATGTTGGTGGATATGTTGAAGAGAAGGAGGGGGAAAGAGATCGAAGAGAGGGTGGTGATGTTGGTGGCTGTCAAACAGAGGGTGTATATATCATTATTATTTCAATTTTTATTTTTTTAAAATTTTAATTTATCTATTTATTATTTTTAATGTTTGAAATGACCAATATGCCCTCATATTTAACGGCAAATTGGATGAAATGTTGAGGATTTAGACGGTAAGGGGGAAATTGGTGTAAAAAAAGTTCATATCCTTAATTTTCTAAAAAAAAGGATAGAGTGTTAATCGAAAGTTAGGTACAAGTTCAGGGGGCAAATCACTAGTATACCCTAATTGTGAATCAAATACAATTGTTACACGTGGGAAAAAGGTACCAAAGGTTTTTGAGATAAAACCTCATAGTTGGATTGGTCCATAAAATACGTAGTTAATCATAATGAACTTCAGTGGTTAAATTTGAGAAAATATCGATGGGTATCTTTCCCTGAGAATGGGTGGACGTGTATTGCAACAAGTGGTAAGAGAGCAATAATTGGCCTGGGACACTTGAGTTTTAGGTGCATCACTCAAGATTGAAGATTTACACAATAGGTTTTCAATCAATAGGTTTACACAATAGGTTTTCAATCAAGAGGGGGTGGAGAGCCCGTTAGGAACAATAAATTTAGGACGACATGTCATGAAAAAAAAATGTCCCTGTATATTTAGAGGGTACAATTATTGGCATGAGCAATCCTACAATGCATCCTCTAGATATTTTCCCTTAACATTATGCTTTATTAATTTTACTTGATTTTCCTTGGTTCAGAAAATTCCCAGAAAACAAAAGATCTTATAAATCCAGCTAACCATATGTTTCAGCTCTAGTCAATGACTTGGAGCACACAAAATCTACTTCACACTTTGTAAGAGGGCATGCAAGTGTATGGAGGATGGAGCAATAATCTTTATTTATAATATATATGATAATAGATTGATTTTATTTTTATTTTTTTGACTCCATATATATATATATATATTAAAATTGGAAAGCCTCCTGGCCTACACATATTGGTCTTGTGGTGTAGGTAGTGGCTAAGGTGATAAGTGTTGCGCAGTCTCCCCTTCCTTATTAGATTAGGAAAGCTTGCAGACGTCAGTTTGTTTTGGATTGCTGGTAACATCTGCATTATACTCCATTTTCTGTCTTCTTCATTGTCTGCCAATTGTGATGAACAGCCAAAGATGTCTGCCAGTTGTGGATATCGTTTTCGTCTTGAAAGAAACCCAAATAAAGAATGTTCCAATTATGGTATATAAGATGATCTACAATCATGCTCCCTATTTTTAAGTTAAAATTTAGCTAAAAACACAAAAAAAAACTATTTTAAGAGCTCTTTATAAAATATGCGTGTTCTTTCATTACTAAATAACCTTGTCGAAAGAATATAAGATATTAATAGCGCATCAATAACCAAGCAGAAGTATGCAGTAATCACCTGGTTGTGTGATTAAGCTTTCCCCTTGGGGTCATTTGTGTGTTGAAAGCTTTATGGATCTTGCAATTTAACTATAATATCTCGACGTGGAAAGACATTCTTTTGTTTTTTTCTCTGTAAATTATGAAACATGCCTGTAGATGTTATATCTAGAATTTAGATGTTACTACTGGATTGCTTCAGATTATCTAGCGGAGTTGTTATTTGGGGAAGAAAACGAAGCTTATGTAGAACGAATATAGCAGTAAACTATTATGCTGTTATCTGATTTAGCATCAGATGGCTCTTTTAAAGCAAACTTGTCTGACATACCTGCGAATAGAAACCCTGGATGGATGTTCAAATTTCCTTCGTTATTACAAAATATAAGTGCTTAGTTAGTTGTGTGTGTTACATATGTTAAGATATATATAGATGTCAAAATGAGGTAACATGACTGTCCATGATGACCTGTAGCTTGTAGACCGAGAAACATCAGCTCCAAAGAAATTGGATGATCACTTTGTAAAACTTTGTGTTTAACCTGGTATCTCGAGAGGTGAAAGGAATTTAGTTTGACTGGAGGATAATACACTCTTCTTATCTTGCAAAATTTACTCTACAAGGTTCCAAAGAATGCTCTTAGTTTCGAATACCCAACCCCGCCACGCGACAAAAGGAGCCTAACACCATTCCCCAAAGTCAAACTTGCTTTTCCCAATTTGTCTTTGCTTCCCCAAAGTCTTCCTCACACGCATAAAGTTTTATCAATCAAAAAACAAAGCCACCGAAAGCACTTGTGAAGTCAACAAAGTCATGGTAGGTGCCCATAACAAAACACACACATGCCATCAAATTTAAGCCAATTCCAACACAATTGAGTCGCCTAGACTTAAATATAATTTTGTTGGGTTTAATATATCCATGAATTTCTTCAATACTTATTTTCCTTCCAACTTTCAGAGTTGTGCAGTGGTGGTGTTTTGGTTGGGGCGGAGTTTTGGTTTGGTAATTGAAGCCAATACCAACGAGAAGAACGTTTTCTGAAATCAAAGATTACGGTATATATAATATTCATCATTAGAGCATCCACAATGGGCTCCCTAAACTATCTCCTTAGACAAATTTTAAGAAGGAATTGGAAAAATACAACTTCAACCATGCTTCCTATTCACCTCCTAAAATAAGGAGACTTCTAGGAGCTTTTAAATCTGAGGAGAGAGAAATAACTCCTAGTGACTCCCTATAATCAGGGGCGGAACTATCATATGGGCTAGAGTGGGCTCTAGCCCAGGGACGTTTTTTTTTATAAAAAAAAAAATTAGATGTGGTTGTGCTTAATTTATGAGGGCCAGCGTGGGTTACGTGGCCAATGCATTGGACCATTGGTGGCTGGCTGCTGTTGTCTTTTTATTATTTTTTTATTATTTTAAGTTGTGTGGTCTATTTCCTATACAATAAAGTATTCTAGTTTCCCATTGAATAAAGTATCCTAGTCTGATATGATGAAGTATCCTATTCCTAGCCTAGTTTGTCCTACGCAACTTTATAAGTATCTTAGTCAGTCTAATAAAAAAAGAAGAAGACGATATTCATATTTATGAAACTTAGCCCTAGCCCTAGCAGTCCCAAAAGAATATTTGCAGCGTTTTGTATTCTGTGCTACCAAAGTCGAGTTCATCGTCAACAAGCGTAATAAAGGTATCTAACTCTCCACAATCTCGAATTATTATTATTTTTTCATTGATTTGTTTAGTATAAAGTAAATTGTTCTGTTTTTGATATGTGTTATTAGATTATAATGTCACATCAGAACCAAGCAAGTAAAAGAGCAAAAACTATTGATTCATTCTTCAAGAAAAAAAATGATGGTGATAAATTAGACAATGACAAGGCTTCTACATTCAATGATAAGGCTTCACCATCAATTGAGTCACCTCATCACACATCTCCCCTAGTTGAACCTAACCAGTTTGATGTTGCTTTTTTGGAATGAGACCCTGGGAAACGTATTCAAATATCTGAATACCCTATTAATCAACGTGATGAGGTTCGATGTGCTTATATCAAAGTTGGGCCTTACCAACCAAAATTATTAGAATATCCAAGGTCTCAGTTTGGGTCGCAATATCGTCGATTTCAATATTCTTGGTGACAGGACCTGTCCCGAATTTCCCGGAACCCGAGACGAACCCTGCGGAGACCCCGGCATCACACCCACGCCGGGTTCACTCCTTAAATCTACGTCCTCGTTTACCAGAGAGGATTAAGGGCACGAGACTTCCTGCCGAAATTTCGGCAGAGTCCCCCCTGTAAATTGAACATTTTCCCAAAATTTCCACCTGCATAAAACACATTTTATAACCCATCCGGCAGCACGCACAATATAATCTCATGCAATTTACACAAATGGCCTTCCGCCTTCAAATGATTCTAGCAGAACTACCCACAATGTTTTTACAATAATTTAATGCGTCAAACATGCATAAACCAAATTCAAAATCTATTTACGCACACCTTCACTCACTTAGTCCACAGGACAAGCCTCAATTCAACCAAGTTTTGGGACCAACAACGAGGTCCAAACCAATCCCAATAAGACCACCTAAGTGGGGTCTAATCTGTGGCTGCACCTAGTAACTTCAGGCTGCCTACGTACCCTACTAAGGGATCAAGCCACACGTAGCTCTTTCGTATCTATCCTGGCTCCTAATATCAAATAAACCATTACCGCCATACAAATTCATACATTCTAGGATTTATCCATCCCAACACACCAAACACAATCACAACATAATCCCCTCATACGACGGGACGCACCCGGCCTCGTATGAGGTCTGTCAACACGCCGGCTAATCCAAAGACGCGTGCGACCTCACACTGGGCCTGGCTACATTCTCACCAGCCCTCACACAATCATATCTCCCCTCATACGTCGGGACGCACCCGGCCACGTATGGGGTCTGTCAACACGCCGGCTAATCCAAAGACGCGTGCGACCTCACACTGGGCCTGGCTACGTTCTCACCAGCCCTCACACAATCATATCTCCCCTCATACGTCGGGACACACCCGGCCACGTATGGGGTCTGTCAACACGCCGGCTAATCCAAAGACGCGTGCGACCTCACACTGGGCCTGGCTACATTCTCACCAGCCCTCACACAATCATATCTCCCCTCATACGTTGGGACGCACCCGGCCACGTATGGGGTCTGCCAACACGCCGGCTAATCCAAAGACGCGTGCGACCTCACACTGGGCCTGGCTACATTCTCACCAGCCCTCACACAATCATATCTCCCCTCATACGTCGGGACGCACCCGGCCACGTATGGGGTCTGTCAACACGCCGGTTAATCCAAAGACGCGTGCGACCTCACACTGGGCCTGACTACATTCTCACCAGCCCTCACACAATCATATCTTCCCTCATACGTCGGGACGCACCCGGCCACGTATGGGGTCTGTCAACACGCCGGCTAATCCAAAGACGCGTGCGACCTCACACTGGGCCTGGCTACATTCTCACCAGCCCTCACACAATCATATCTCCCCTTATACGTCGGGACGCACCCGGCCACGTATGGGGTCTGTCAACACGCCGGCTAATCCAAAGACGCGTGCGACCTCACACTGGACCTGGCTACATTCTCACCAGCCCTACGGGTTTAAAGGCCTCAACATGATCACGATATGGGGGGGTACGTGGGGTAGTGCATATAGCACTGTGAGCTAACATTCAATCGCTTTATTTACCTTTATACATCCACACAATTTAATATAAAATGTAAAATTTCTACTCCTATATAAACCTCAACCCTGGCATAGCATCTGATAATTTCGCAATTTAAATCATATAATAATATTCTAAATTCACGTATAAACCATTTAACTCGACAACGCTCAAGACCTGTCACTAAGGTCATTTTAACCCTCCTGGGATGGTAGAACTACAACAAAAGTCTAGCGGTCAACCCAGGGTCAAACTACCCAAACTTGGTCAAACAGGCCCGCGGGACTCACGACCACCAAATTCCGATCCGAAAGTTCCTATAGGTTCTACAGGCTCTAGGACACACGTCCTGCAAGTTTGGTCCAGATCGGACGGTCGGATCGCTCACGATCTCACAATCGGACGGTCACTAAAACTTACCCCTAGGGTTGGCATTTCGGGAGTATCCGGGACTCCGTTTTACGATCCGTCGAATCCTATACGATCCTGGTAATACCTAGATGAACATATTATAACTTCAGGATCATCCAAAGGTCCAAACCTAGCGAACCCGGAAAATACGCGATATGCGATATCCGTTCGGAACTCTAACGGTATCCAAAATGAGATCCGAGGACACCTATGCGCTCGTGACATCGAGAGGATTGCAGTGGGACAAAATGCCCCTCAGCTACAGTGCCGACGCGCCGCCACACGCGCCGGCAGCGCGTTGGTGTCCAAAGCGATACCCATCGCCGGAAAACTTCCAAATCGTGAGCCAAGACTCCTACCCTAGGTAATACACCTAATTTGGAGTCACTTTGGTTCTTGGGCATACCCCAAAAATTGACCGGAAGTGGCTGGAATTGCGATCGCAAAATCGGCCGAAACCTAAATCGAAAATCGGATGATCTACACTCAAAATTGATGCAATCCTACCCAACCATCAGCTAGATCATGAAAAATAGGTAGGAATCCATACCTCAATCACCAGAAACGGTGGCCGGAGGAGGGAGATCGAGCCGGTGAAGTTTCGGGCGAAAACCGGCCAAAAACCTGCATTTTCCGGCGACTGGAGCGGCGGCCGATGTCGGGGAAGGACCAGGTCTTGACGGCGGGGCTGAGCCGGTCCTTTTGGCACCGGTCCCGTCCACTGCCATGGACGGTGGCCGGAGTTTCGAACAGAGAGGGAGAGAAGCTGCCGTCGGGGAGATAGAGAGACGCACGGGGGAGAGAGAGAGAGAGACGGGGGCAATTCCGTCTTTTTAACCAAAAATCCATTTTCCAAATATTTACGATTATGCCACTGACCTTCATTTGATCATATCTCTCTCGTTACAACTCCGATTCGAGCCCACTACGTGTCTACGGACTCATCTCACCGTGCTCTACGCAACGGTACAACCGGAATTCCCAAATTCCTTCCGGATAAGAAAATGACTAAAATATCCATATCCCACGGGTAATTTCTCAATTCCACTTAAATAAATTAAAACATGGGATAAATTTGGGGTCGGGGTGTTACACTTGGTTATCTCAATTTCCATGGTTAGAATATTCCCCTTCAGAAGATAAAGTCTATTGTTTTCCTTGTTTTATTTTTGGTAATAGTCGTCCTGCATTAACTACTGAGGGTTTTAACAATTGGAAAAGAGTTAATGATGGAAAGAATTGTGTATTTTTGACTCATGTTGGAGGTCCATCTTCATCGCATAATACTTGTGAAGGATGGATGGAGGATTTGATGAACTCATCTCAACATGTCGACAAAGTTATTAATCGACAATCAAAGGAAGACATTTTGAAAAACCGATTACGGCTCAAGACAACGATAGAGTGTGTTCGATGGCTTACATATCAGGCATGTGCTTTTAGGGGTCATGATGAATCTTTGGATTCTAAAAATCGTGGAAATTTTATTGAAATGGTCAAGCATACAGCAAAGTTTAATGATGAGGTGGCTGGAGTTGTTTTAGAGAATGCCCCAGAAAATGCAAAATATACCTCACCCAAGATTCAAAAGGAGATTTTAAATATTCTTGCAAACAAAGTGAGAAAAAAAATTCGTGAAGAAGTTGGGCATGCTGCTTTTTGTATCCTTGTTGATGAATCACAAGATACGTCAAATAGAGAGCAAATGGCTATTGTTTTAAGATTTGTTGATAATGATGGTTTTCTACGTGAACGTTTTTTTGACATTGTGTGGGTTGAAGACACTACTGTGTCAACACTTCAAAAAGAGATCAAGAAAGTACTTGATCTCCATGAATTATGTATTGACAAGATGAGAGGTCAATGATATGATGGTGCTAGTAATATGCGGGGTGCATGGAATGGGCTACAAGCATTATTTCTTAGAGATTGCCCATATGCATATTATGACACTGTTTTGCTCATCAACTACAGTTAGCATTAGTTTCAGCATCAAAAGAAGTAGCTACAATTTGGTTATTCTTTTCATCATTGAATTCAATTGTCAATGTCATTAAGGCTTCTCCAAAACGTCATACTGAGTTACAAGTTGTTCAATCAATGAATATTATAAAGCTGTTGATTGCTGGTGAACGAGAGACTGGTAGAGGAGCTAATCAAATTGGTACCTTGCATCAACCTGGAGCTACTCGGTGGAGTTCTCATTACGATTCTGTTTGTGACTTAATAGAAATGTATGATGCAGTTTGTACGGTTCTTGAGAATATAAAGGAGGATGAATCCACAGGCTCCTTATGTAGGGAAGCTACTGGTGGATACAATGCGATTAGGCAATTCGAATTTGTATTCATCTTGCATCTATTGAAAGAAATTATGGGACTCACAGATATCCTTTGTCGAGAACTACAACATAAGTCTCAAGACATCGTGAATGCTATGAACCTAGTTGGTACAACAAAAGATGTCCTTGGAAAATTGAGATTAAATGGTTGGGAAACTTTTATTGGGAAAGTTGATTTGTTTTGCAAGAAACATGACATTGACATGCCTGATATGAATGCTCAATATAAAGTGGGAACAGGTCGTTCTTGTCAACAAAAGGACAACATTATAGTTGAGCATCATTACCACTTTGACATATTCAATGATGCAATAGATTTTCAATTGGCAGAGTTGAACAGCAGGTTCAGTGAAGGGGCAATGGAACTTCTTATTCTTAGTTCAGCTTTGGACCCTAGTGATTCTTTTAAATCATTTAATATTGATAAAATTTTTGCAGAGAGATTTTATCCTCAGGATTTCACTCCAAAAGAGTTACATATTTTGGGATGCCAGCTGAAACTTTATGAGGCGGACGTTCCTCATCATCCTGTACTTCAAAACGTGTCTACACTCTCTGAATTATGTCGGGGATTAGTTGAAACAAAAAGGTCAAAAAGATATCATTTGATTGATAGGTTGATCCGTCTTGTGCTAACTCTCCCTGTTTCTACGGCAACTACTGAACGAGCTTTTTCAACTATGAAACTTGTTAAAACAGCTCTTCGCAACAAGATGAAGAATGATTTTCTAGCAGATTCTATGGTTGTCTACATTGAAAAAGAACTTGCTGACAATATCAATTCAGATGTAATAACAAAAGATTTCAATTCTCTCAAGGATTGCAGGGCACAACTTCAATAAGTACACTTTTAATTATGTTGTTGAACATATTATTTAATGCATACTTTGCTTGGTTTATACTTTTATTTGATTTAATGTATACTATTAGCATGGTTTATATGATTTAATGCATAGTTTTATTTTAGTTAAAAAATTTAGCTAGCCCACCGGTCCAAAAATTCCTGGTTCCGCCTTTGCCTATAATTTAATGCTGCTTTATTTAATGAATATTTCAAATATTTAATTAATACTAACTATTTTTTATATTATTCTTTTAATAGAGATTACTTCAGATTATCTAGCGGGCTTGTGAAGGCTTACATTCCTAGTCAAGCCTGGAGTTGTTATTTGGAGAAGAAAACGAAGCTTATGTAGAACGAATAGAAGGAATGGCAGATAAGATTCTTGTTAATAGCAAATTCACAGCATCTATTGCAAAGACATTCAATAATCTTAACGCATGAGGAATTCAGCCAGCTGTTGCTGTTAATGTGACCAATTCGTATAAGTAACGAGCATGTTTGTATATGGTTTACAGTTTCCTTGATGATTTTCATTTCCTTTCTGTCGATATAGAGGAAAAAGAATATAGACTTGGTAAATTTGAGCTTTTGCTATGCTTCGTACCCTTGAATCCTAGCTGTTTCTTGATCCAACTCTGTTTGTATTCCTTTGCTTTTGTCTCTGTTTTGCTCCTTCCCGTTTGGATTGTTCAATGACATCAGACTTACAGAGAATTTGTTGACCCCAATCTCTGGTTTAAAGAGATGTTCAAAAGCCATGAAACGTTCTTTAAAATAGTTTGAAATGTCAAACTTTAAATCTTGACCACATATTCAGATATGATTCTGCCCAATCAATAACCTTAATTGCTATAGTTCGACAAAAGAATGTATCTAGGCAAAAACAAACATGAAAGCTTCAGCTCCAAAAGTCCCTCAAGGCTTTCAAATGAAAAATTGCATCCAGCTATCTAGCCGCAACAGAGAAGTATATGTACCCAACAGACTGTCAGACTCAAACAATCACTATTGACAGAACTATCTCAAAGCAGTTGTAGACATCCCCCTAATTTTTGCAAACTCCGTTATCACGAAACTCATTTTGACAGATTTATTTAGAAACCGAGTGAAAACTTTGAAGAAAACTAGCATTACATATCACCTGCATTATGTGAAGGTTGCAGAACTCAGTGAAGTGATTGCCTCATGGTTTTAGCTACATTATGTGAAGTTAGAAGTCAGAACCTCCAATTGATTATGCACAAGCATCCGAGGATAGTTGAAAGGAAGCATGCTGCAAAATCCATGACATAACAGTAGAAAACTACTGAACTCTCACCGCCCTATGAATCACTTACATATCGCCCATTGTCATATTGGCACTAAGTTCCAATTTCATTAAAACTTTAAAAACATGCTTGTTTATATACTTGAAGATGGTTTAACGTAGCATCTACACAAATACAAGGTCAACTAACATATAATTACAATCTTCAAGAGCAAGTTGTTCTGATAACCAACAAATAAAATAGTGCAGTGTATGACTATCCAAATTGAATAAAAGCATGCATGCTATGGTATTTCTATGGAGAACCCCAAGCCACCTTATGCCAAAGCATCTTAGATAAAGACTGCCTGAACTCTTACCTAGCATTATTCACAGATGACAAATTCACCTCAATTTGGATTAGAATCCACAGCTTCAATAGACATACATATTCTAAGATGAGAAAGCTCTTCAGTACTCACAACTGCGCGCGCACACATACACACACACCAATAATCTCACCTTCTTACTCAATATCAATAATTTCGCTATTTGAGTCATCCTCAAGAATGTTGTATGCTACCCGAATCAAACTATAAACTAGAGAGAAAATGTCACAAAACATTTCGCTATCCTAGATGCTGTTATCTGATTTGGTATCAGATGGCTCTTTTAAAGCAAACTTGTCTGACATACCTGCGAATCGAAACCCTGGATAGATGTTCAAATTTCCTTTGTTATTACAATATATTAGTGCTTAGTTAGTTGTGTGTGTGTGACATATGTCAAGATATATAGAGATGTCAAAATGAATTTAGTTTGACTGAAGGAGCTCAGAAGTTTAGCAGAAAAGGAAGGAGTGTCCAATCAGGTTAACTTCATCACATCTTGCTCAACAGCTGAAAGAAATGCACTTCTCTTCCAATGCCTATGTGTCCTTTATACGCCAAAGGTCCAAATTACACTGTTTTGTTCCGTTTGATGGGATATAGGTTGGAAAATAAAATTGATATGAGATAATCTGATTGAAGACCTGTAGATGGCACAGAGGGTTCTGCTTGGCTATTGCTAAACTGATCGAAGACCCACAGATGGCGCAGAGAATGGGCATCTATGCGCTACAGCATGTGACAGATTCATTCCCCACAAAAATATTTGGTTGGCATTTGAATCAATACCTTGTTGACGTTGCTGGGACGAAAGAAGGCTGAAGACTGCATGACCTTGTAGTATAAATTGTTCAATTTAATCGCCTAGACTTAAATAAAATTTTGTTGCGTTTAATATATCCATGAATTTACTCCGAGTGTGTCATCTTTTATGCCTTTTGTCTTTTGCATGATGTACCATTTTTCTAAAGTTCATCTGTTTGGTCATGTAGTTGAGAGATGGTTGACTTGTGAATGAAGAGCGAAGAATGAGATTTTCTGCGAAGGTTATGCTTCTCCTGCAGTGTAACATGAATAGGATGTCAATGTATGTAATGTTAAGATAAGGCTTGACCAGCACTGGAACTCTCAAGCCATGTCTGGCATGCATGCCGTATTAAATAACACCATATATCACTACAAGAAAAAAGGTCATTAGTGACCAATTTCCTTGTGACCACATTAATAATGGTCACAAATACAGTGAATTTAATGACCAATAATACTATATGGTCAGTAAATTGATTAAGACATATTTTTTATTTTTTAATGACTAAATTTTCTGACCAGTATTTAAATTAGTCACTAAAAACAACTCAAAAAATAAAGCTAGTGACCAACACATATATGCCAAGCTAGCCTTACTTATGCTATTTAATACATCAGTGACCAATTAACTTTTTTAAACTTTATTTTTTGTTTTCAAAACGCGCGTGTTCTGAGCGAGAAGAGCGAAAGCATCTGAAGGAAAAAAAAAGGGGAAAAAAAGAAGAAGAGCGATCTCAGAGCGAGACCAGCGAGACTAGAGAGAGCAATACCATCTTCTTCGACGAGCGTCGTCCTCTTCGTCTCTTTCGTTTCGATTTCTAAGTTTTCTCCCAATATCATGTGAGCTTTCTATTTCTCTTTGCTTTCAATGTTAGTTTTGATTTCATTTGAGCTAGATTTGAGTACGATTGTGACTCTGAGTCTGATTCTCTATTCCCGAATTCCCTAGTTCTCTAGGTTTGATTTGGTAAATAAAGGCTTTAAGCAAAAACTGTGTCCTTAAATCAGCTAGGTTTTCTTTTGGTACTCAGGCAGAGCTTGATTTTAGGTTCAATTTTGATTTCAATTCTGATTATTGCATTTTTTTTTTATGTACTGCTTGTGTGAATTTCAGTTTGCAGTGGACATGTTCTGATATAAAGTAACAATGCATGTCCTGATTAGACTGTTATATATTGTGTTGAATTTCACATTCCATTGATTTTCTGACCAATTTTGTTTGCTTTAGGCTAGTTTCATTCATCTACCTGTAATGCAGTTGACCATGAATTTAAACAGCTTGGAAATGTGGTCCTTTGAACTGATTGTTCGTCTATTTGGTCTTCTTCCAAACCCAAAGTTGGAAACCTCAGTGCTACATTATCATCCCCTCGCCAGTACAGTTGAGGGTAGGGGTGGCATTTTAAACCGAAAAACCGAAAAACCGCAAAAACCAACCGACAATTTACCGCAATGAAACCGCAATCGCGGTAAACCGAACCACATTTGCGGTATTAAGAACCGAACCGCATTTGCGGTTGCGGTTGCGGTATTTGATTTTCAAAACTTTCTGCAAACCGCAAAGTATAGCCATACGGATGATGAAGTTGAATTTTACAAGGAAATAGAACATATGACAACTTGTAAGTAATTAGTTTATTTATACTAATGTTATTTATGCTTCTTCTTATAATAAAATGTACTAAACTATGTTGTTTTATTTGTAAATAACATTGGTGCTCAAACAACACAACGGGGTTCTTCAAATTCACTCACCACCAACACTTGAGTTTGTAACTTTAGTTTGTAACATTGGTGCATTGCATTTTCTTTTTAGTTTGTAACTTTAATTAACTTTGAATTGGATTTTTCTTTTTTGTTGTAACTTTAATTCATTTTGTTTTGCATTTTCCTTTTGGTTTATAACTTTAAAGGATTTGGAATTGGAATGCTTGAGAAGTTTAACTTTAATTGGAATGCTTGGAATTGTAACTTTGATTTTCTTAGGTTGTGAATGCTTGAGAAGTTGAGGAGATTGTGAATTTATATATGTTTGAGAAATTGAGGTTGTGTATTTATTTATTTAGGTTGTGAATTTATATTTTTGTGAATGCTTGAGAACTCGCGGTTTTAAACCGCAAAACGCTGTCGGTTTGCGGTTTCAAAAATCATCAAACCGCAAATAGTCGGTCGGTTTGCGGTTTGAGTAAAAATTCACGGTTACCGAACCGCAACCACCCCTAGTTGAGGGTCTGGGTAATTATGTTTCGATCTATTCTACATTTGCAGAATGCTGCATTCGTCTTGGTTCCTGGCGGATTTGGAGATTGTGGTGTGAAAGGTATGATATTAGCCGCAGAGTATGCCAGATAGAACAATGTTCCTTATCTTGGGATTTGTTTGGGCATGCAGACTTCGGTAATTGAGTTCGCAAGATCCGTAAGCGACATTTCTTTCACTAACATGTTTTCTTCTAATTTTAAGATCATATATCAGCCCTTATTTAATTACTTATTTTAGGTTTTGAGTTTAGAAAGGGCGGACAGCATAGAGTTCGATGAACATACACCAAATCCTATTGTAGTTTTTATGCCCAAGGTACAAATTTATGGTGATGCTTTCCTATTCAGTTATGAAATACATATGGCTGCAACATTCTTCCCGTGATAGTTCATTCTTTTATGTCTGCATATAGGGTTCAAGAACTCATATGGGAAGCACAGTGAGACTGGGATCCAGAAGAACACTTTTCCAGACTCCTGATTGCATTACTTCAAAGCTGTACGTTCATTATCTATTACTACGTTCAACTTGAGATATACTACATATAACCTGTCTGTTACTGAAAATTCAAATTATAAGTTCAGTTACCTTGTTGCATTTATACAGTAAAGTCGATGCAGGTGCCATACAAACAGAGGAACCTCCACTTCCCTAGTTTATTTCTTTTGGCTCGCATTAAAGAACTATTTTTGGGCTTGTCTGGCCATGAGTAAGGAAGGGCTTGCTTGCAGTTGCAGTGCTCTGTGGAGCATACTTCAAAGTAATTTTCATAGGCACTAGCACTCACTCCTTTTTTTCTCTTTTCTTTCTTTCTTTGTTTTTGGTTTTTGGTTTTTGGTTTTTTTTTGACGAACAGGGGGAAAACCCCCAGAAAAACAAACTAACAGATACCAGTCAATCACTCTTATTTTACTTTAGATAAACACGTACATGAGCAAGAGAATTAATAAATTCCGCTGCTGCCTCGCCGTCCAGTAGCATAGATTCAAGAATTCCACTCTTCACAAGCAATTCCATATCCCTGGCACTGTTGACAGCATAAGTACAAGAACAAATTCACTGATATAAGTACAAGAACAATTCACTGATTCATTGCTTTATTATTTTTAAAAGCAATAATGGCATGTGTCCTTGCTTGGGTTTAGCTCAGTGATTGAGGTCCTTCCCCTCCTCAATGACCCAGTCAAAAAACAAAAAAAGAGTCCTTTATTTTGATAGGCACTATGGTCCATGACGAAGACATAGTCGTTGATGTAATGATCATGGAGCTCACACTGCTCATAGGGAATAAGATTGTGGAAGAAAATTTCTGTTGAACCCCGTATTCAAAGGTGTGGAATTTTGAGGATTCCATTCTCAAATTTTATGTCAAATAAGTTTTTATCTTTAACCATCATAAACTTGAGTCCAGCCTGGTGTAAGTTTGTTGCACTTGGTATGGTTAAAGTTTTGAGTTTTCTTCTGGTTGGAAGATCAGATGGTAAAGGTCGATGACATTTTAGAACAAAGTCAACAAAATGGTGTATTTTAGTCAAAGAGTGGGAGAGTTTTTTCAAAATTTCATCAAATGGCCTAATGTACACCCTATTGTGGAAGAAATCATGGGTTAGCTTAATGAGGGATGTTTCCAGAAGAATTGTATAGTTGGCATGGACTAAGAAGTAGAGAACTCGAGGATGAAGATTGGCACCTGATTTTAAAGCAACAACATGTCGTATATAATGTCCCTTAGAGCAAGTCTAGCGCCCAACCCAAATTGAGTGAAAGGCTGCCAGGGCGAGCCCGAGATGGCTCCAGCGCAGGGCCCGTAGCCGGTTTCATGGTGGGTCCCACGAGCCCGAGGAAGCCCAAGGGCAAGTCTTGCCAGGGCTGAAGCCCGAGTCTGGTGACGTCAGCGCTGGCGTCACGCTGATAGCCTCCAACGGGCGTTTGCCATGTGGCGCGACAGGGACTCTCGGATGGCTTTTTTCCAGAAATCCGACGGTTCTCATTTTTTTGGCTAAAAAAATTGCAAAAAAAATTGAAAAAATTCTGAATTTTTTATAAAAAAATACCCAAAAATTATGTATTTTTTCTCTATAAATACCTAACCATTTTATTTACTTTCCACACTAAATCTTCATACAATTTCTTCTCCATCCAATATTTTTTACTCTCCACTCACATTATTCACTTTCCACACCAATTCTTTGTACAAACTTTTCTCCTTCCAATATTTTTTTTTATCTCTACTCATATTTTTCACTTCCACACCAATTCTCCATACAAACTCTTCTCCTTCCAATATTTTTACTCTCCACTCATATTTTTCTACTACTTTCCATTTGTATAAAAAAACGAATGGCATCTTCTGTTGAAGTCGGAGGCTCGTGGTCAACGAATGAAGATATTGCGTTATGTCAATCTTGGGTGAACATTAGTCATGACCCTATCACGGGCAACGAGATGAAGTTTCATCACATGTGGAGCAAATTTTAGAGGGTGAAAATTAGTCATGACCTTATCTGACATTGGACACGTGGCACAATTTTAGAGGATGAAAATTTTATCTGAAATCTGAGATTATAATTTTTTTTTAAATATCTAAAATCGTATCTGACATGAGACACGTGACACAATTTTAAAGGGTGAAAATCTTATCCGAAAATTTAATTACAAAAGATTATCAAAATTAATGGTTTAAAGTATAAAAAAATAGGAAATAAAGTACAATGAATAGTAATTGCCTTAGACTTGCCCTAGACTTTGCCCTCATGGGTGGAACCACAAATGCAAAGGCTGACACTATTCACGTGAATAGTGGCAGCCCTTGCTTGCCCTTGCCTTAGACTTAGCCCTTGTGGGTGGAGATGCTCTTAGCATCCATAGTTTTCTAAATATTCGGTCGTTTTTCCTTTTGTAGTGTTGGAAAAGAAGCTCTGAGCATGACCCCAAAGATAAAAGTGGCCGTTTCTATTGGCTGACTTTTTTTAGGAGCTTTTGTAACCCACTTTTTCACTATCGTGACTAGGGCATGGCATTCAAATCGGTAACCTAGTCAAACCGCCCAAACCAAACCGATGGTTTGGGTTGATTTGGTTTTTTTTTCAATTTTTTTTGGTCATCGGTTTGAACCCAAGCCAAATCAAAATATATGGTTCGGTGTACAGTTTGCAATATTCAAAACCACGGTTTAACTAAACCCAACCGATAGTATTAAAAAAAATATTATATATAATATTATTATAAGACATATAAATATAATACATAGTTTCAATCTTTTCTTTTTCTTCTCTCTCCATCTTTCCGTTTGTTTTGTCTCCATCAGTCCCTGTCTCTCTTCTTTTTTTCTCCTTCTTACGTCTGTCTTCACTCCCTCTCCCCCTCTCACTTTTTTTTTCTTCTTCTTCTTCTTCTTCTTCTCTCTCTCTTCTTTTTCTCCTCTTCTTCTTCTTCTCCTCTCCATCGCTTTTCTTATTCACTCTCTCTCTCTCTAAGAAAGCCAAAAAAAACCAAACCAAACCAAACCAAACCAACCCACCAAGTCCGGTTAACCGAAGTGATCGGTTTTCATCAATTATGGTTTGGTTTTGGTTTCCAAAATAGCCAAAACCAAGGCCTACGGTTCGGTACTTTGGTTGAGCCCAAAACCAAGCCAACCCAAACCGAACCCACCCCTAATTGTGACCCATTTTTCCATTATGTGCTTAGTAAAGAGAAAAATAAGAGAATGTACGTTGAATATGGACAAATACAGAAAAATTCAAAACTAAATGTACGTTGATTTTCAATAATTAAAGCTAAATATAGAAATATTCAAAACTTACCTATATGTAAGTACTCTTGATGTCGTCCAACACTTACCTATTATTTTTGTACATGTGTCAAACTGTAATTTGCAGGAAAGAGGTATAAAACATGTCCAACACTTTATAGAATACAATATTAATGTCTTTATTATTTTTATTTTTATTTTTATACAAGAAATATTGGGGAAGAGGGGATTTAAACACATAATATCTCAAGTGCATGGGTAATTGCTCTTAACCACTAGAGCTAAAGCTCTTTGTTATCCATTTATTAACATTAATAAGAAATATATAAATGAATAAATATATATATATATATAGAGAGAGAGAGATTAATATCTCTTCATAAATATAGCATGCTTTATGAGTACAAGTTGAAGTCTATATAGTTACAAGAGAAAACATGATCGGGTTAATTTCAAGCAGTTTTTGTAATTTGCGTTTTTTAGGCAACCCGACTATTAATCTCAAAAACTTCTTCTCATCATATATCTTACACCACATGAAGAGGCAGAAATAAGTAGGGAGATAATTATACAGGGATGCAAGCTTATTATACATACAGTGCTAAGTGATGATCATGCAGATTTGTGGTTCGGAACCCAGACGATATGATCAGTTGGAAGGAAATGGCAGATGGGAATTTTTCCGGGCTTAACTTTGAGGATTTGGAAGGCCAAATGCTTTGGGCTCCATTCTGATGTGTCTAGATGGCAGATGGCTACTGCTTTAACCTTCACCCCAACATCGCCTTTCAGGGAGAGAACATAAGCTGCTGTTGATTTTATTGCATGGCAGTAAAACACAGCATAGGGATAGTTCTGCTTATGACACACAACGACTTTGTCACCTGCCAGCTTCTTCAGTCCCGGCATTGTTGTATACTTGTGCACGAACATAGTGGCTCCTTTTTCCAATACCTCCGTCGAGATTGCTTGAACGTTTCTTGTTCTAAGCTTCGAAGTGCTAAAATCAACCATTGATTCTAAAGATGTGGCGCAATATTTTTCCTCTCCCTTAACGCCTGGAGCTTCACACTCTTCAATTGTTTGCTTAATTGTTTTGGCTTCCACAGATGTTGGCTTCACTGAAAAATGGTTGAAAATTTCTGATAGTTTGTTAGAGGAGAAGGGGATCGATTGAGCACTTACGCGTGGCAGGAAAGTAGCCATGTTTGAATTTCTAGCAAATTGGAAGTTCGTTGTTGCGCCAGGGCGCATGTCGTTCTCCAAGAAGAAAATAGCTACGTTTTTATAATGGAGTTGATTGTCAGTGGGATGATCATATCTGTTGTTATAAAGTACATTTGCCATTGGGATATTTTCAGGTTTGCCCTTGTGGTCAGTTGGCTTTCCATTCCCAACAGCACTCATGATATTTGTGCTCTTTTCTTCATTTGTGGAGTCTGCAAATTATAAATCCACATCATAATGGAAAATAAGTGATCAGCCGATTGAAGAGTGAGTGACACATTTGCGAATATGTTGCCGTACGTACTCTAGTACCATACTATAATTACTCATTTATGTTCTTACATGTTATGAAGAGATATCTAAGATTCTAAAGTGCTTAACACAAACCAGGATGCAGAAGTTCACTGATAGCTCTTGGCATCTGTGTGTTTGACAGGACGGAGTTCCAGTAAAGTTGAGGTCCTGGTTGAGCGGCATGGTTTGCCAGTGCCACCGCTGCTAGCTGCAACATTAATTCGAACTCTAATTAAAATCAAATCTCACAAAGTGTAATTAATTAGTGGACGACACTTAAGTACTAAACAAAATCAGAGAGAATTATAGGAACACAAAACTTTCGTTTATAGAGTACAATGAGAGATAATGGAAAAGTTAATCAAATTGCAGAGCTTACA